AATTACAAAAAGCTGTTTTAAACAAGTTATTAACTCTTTAGAACCATTGTCAGAAACCTCTGCCCCAGGTAAACTACGGTTTCGGTCTTCAACCACGAGATAGCTTTGTCCACCATATCGGAAGTAATCGAAGATTATACTCGGAAGTAATCGAAGATTATAACTCGTTTCATTATGTTGCTGTAGGATTTGACAAGACGGGTCGCTAGCTTTGCTAAGACGCACAGATCCTCAGGTAATTTTACTGAGGACATCTCTGTTTTTTGTGATCAAAGAAAGAACAAATCTCGGCTTCTCTTCTTTCATGTACACGAGTAGAGGCCAGTCATGTGGTTTGTGGTTTGCCCACCCCTACCCCTGGTTACCTCCAAAATCTATTATTATTGTACAAATGAGCAATTGTGGGCTCTTTCCCTTTTCCCACCAGCAAACTTTTAGTTTTTTCAAGTAAAACTTTTGCTCACATTTTCCGATTATGAAAAGTGACAGGAAAAAGGAAAAAGAGCCCAATTGTAATATAAATAATTGTCGTTCAATCTTTTGGGGAAAGGAAAAACAGCCCAATTGTAAAATAAATCAATGTGGTTGAATCATTTTCGAAAATCTTTGACTCGAATACTAACATCGATTAAATCTTTTAGTCCAAAACAGACGCAAATTCCAGATTCTGGCGCTGTGTGTGCTGACGTGGGATGTATCTCAATGGTACTGAAGATTTCTGGTGTGACTGACCTCCTCTCAATTCGGTAGGATAAATTTTCAACGCGGTCAGAAAAAAATTAACCAGTAGAAAAAAGCCTATATTTAAAGATGCCTAGAAGAAGTAGTATTGCTTTTTCAAAATGAGTGCATGAAAGGTTTAAAATGAAAGATGTCTACAATAATTATTTATCTTTTGAAATGTCCATGGAGTCGTTCTTCTTAAAAATTGTCTAAAATTGTGCATCTTGTAAAATTGTTCATCTGGTAGGATGCATGCCTAGAAGAAAAAATTATCGTACAAAATTTCTACAAAAAAAATGTATAGCAAGCAAGATATTTCAAGAATCTTACAAGCTTTTGACAGAATGATGCATAAACGAACACGTCGCAGCTCAGGGCTACTAGGAGAAAGTGAGAAAATCTTTGAAACTTTTGTTTTTAATCTTGTTTTGAGCATGTAAAGCGAGTGCCTATGATTCATTAGAAGAAAATTGTATCTGAGGCTTTAAAAAATTAGCTTTATTAGAGGCTTTTTATTTGAAACTTTGAAAACTGTGGGAAATTTTCATTCATTCAGTTCCATAAACTGGGTCGTTGAAAAATTCGAGTCCAAAACATCTTTAATTTTGAATAAAATGGTTTGAACAACTATGGAAAACTTTTTTCGTTGTTGTAGCAAAAAAACTCGGCGTATCGTCTCAGAAAAAAATTGGAAAAAAAACTCATCATAAGTTTTCTTTGAATGAAAATTGTATGATTAACTTTTTTAATGGTCACGCCACAAAAAACAGTTTTTAAGTGCGCCCAAAAAACTATTTCGGATTACTTTAAGTGCAAAATGCAATTGCTCTCAAAGAAACATTTTCTCCAAGTTTTTAATTTAGTTTCGTATGCGTATCGTAGTTCTGAATACTCAGAGGTGCCATTTTTTTTGTTCACTTTTTTCAAACCTGAGCGATGAACAAGATTACTTCAAAAAACACTCAAATTCTAAACTGAAATATTTGTTTGTTTGTTTGTGGTAGAATTCTTCGTTCAGGTTGTACATATTAGACCGTTAAGCCTTTGGTACTTCAAACAATGAAGAACTACGTTCTTTATCACGTCTGTTCGGTTACGACCAGAACCCAGAAATTATGAGAAAAAATTTAAAGTCGAAAAACACATTTTTGATAAAAGCCCGGGTTGTCCTCCATAGACCAAAAATGCTAATCATACAATTCCATAAGCTAAGTGTATGAAGAAATACTAATCATACAAGTTTCATACATTTTGTTGAAATGTTGCCGTCGAAATTTGAAAAAACTTTTCTCTTGTTTTGGTATATCGTACTTCATAAAAAAGAAAAAAAAGGTTTGTCAAAAAAAATGCTAATCATACAATTTCCATATATGGAAAATGTATGACTAGCGTTTTTTTGATAGCGACGAAGTATTTTTGAAATTGCCCCCCCCCCCAATTTTTTTCGTGTTTTTTTTCGTGTTTTTTTCAACCGCAAACTATTTTTCGTACTCAAACAAACAATTTTTTTAGCGCAAAAGGAAAAGTAGTGGTCCAGTTGGCAGATTGCTTGAACGTTGCGTCATTTCTATTAAAACCTTTTGTTGCTTTAGTTTCGATTTTATTGTTTGTTGTCCTTTTTACGGTTAGATTCAGTCGATTTACGATGAATGTTTGAACTGTTGCTGATGTTAGAGAGATTTTCATGAGGAAGGTAGTCACAGGTTAAGAAAAGCTTGCGTAAACTGTCGTTAAATTGCACGATTTAGCTGCCGGATACTGTTGTTCAATAGACTCTGGGTAAATTGTACTCGTTCATGTGTGATGCAGGTTGTTGACTGCAATTGTACATAGATGGTCGAATTGAGGTCATTTGCAAATACAACAGTCTGGAAGGTTTCAACAAGGTTGCTGCCGACAAAAAGCGAACTCAATGGGCGGGTCCTTGGGATGAGTCGATGGCGATCAAAAATTGTGTATTTGCCTGATGAAATTGTTGACAAGGAAGTCTAGTTGTCCACGTTTTCTCAGAAATTCTTGCAGGGCTGTCGTATACAATGGGTTGTTGCAGGCAAACCCAGTTTTTGATTGATTTGCTCTTCCTATGGTCAGTGTCTGGAGGTGGTTCAATTTTTCGGCATCAGCAAAATTGGTTGGTTGTGCACTGTCGCTTGATATGGTTCGAACTACATTCTCAATTTTAATGGTCGCCGTCAAACAATTCCTTCCTGATCTTTGGTAACCAAAGAATCAGGCTAAAATGTTTGCTGAGGTTGTTGATGATGCCGTTGATATTGATGATGATGGTCAATCTGATCGGGATTTTGAAACTATTAAGTGGGTTGATTGTTGTCGTCTGAATTAATTTCCTATCTTCTTGCTGATGTTGCTGTTGAAAATTGATGGCTGTTTTTGATGCTGAATCTGCTGCTGGTTCATTAGTTTTTGATGTCGTGAGAGCTGTGATTGGTGAAGAAGTGTCGTTGCAGATGCTGATGCGGTAATTACTGAAGTGATTGCGATGCTTCTAGACTTTTCATCATTTTGCGGGGGATGTCAATACTGTTGCTCAGTTGATTTTTATTTTCTGTGACGGTGACGAAGATGTTTCTGCTTGTTGCATCTTCAGAGTTATGGTCAAAAGATACAGTGTCTTCTGTTCGAATTGCTGCAGCAAGGCTGCTTTTTCTGTTTTCGATTCGATGATGCTGACATCCGTATCTTTGTCGTTTCTTGCTTTTTCAATCCGCTGAAATTTTTTGCAGGCGTTTCAGTGTGATGTCGCGTTCGCGTTGATCAAGGCTTACTTTTTTCCTGGTAGTTCGGTTGGTAAGTTGGTTTGTTAATTCATGCTACACTCTAAATCTCAACCCGAGAGAGAAATATGGAAGTAAGTTGTACCTCGAAAGACTGGAGGATAAGAGAACCTTAGATACAAAGGACGTAAGGAAGGTGTATCGTGTTGAAATAGCATGCAGATTTGTGAAGAGGACAAAATTATCAAATTAAACGGAATTGTCAAGATAACCCGAATCTCTGTTTTATTTTCGAAGTTGCAAAAAATTTTCTGGCAGGAGATGAAGGTTGTAAACTGTAGAGCTAAGGGTTCGTTGTGGGATCGTTCACTTAAAATGTCAAGTAAGCTAAAAAGCGTATGATAAGGTAACATTTCAACTATCAATTTGTTTTATAGCATCGTTTTTGAATAATAGTTAAGTTTTCAAGTCTTCTGTCTAAGAATCATTTGTCTATTTTCAGTTACTTGACTTTAAATTGTTGTGTTTATGTAATAGGCAAAGTCATAGCTTTTCGGGATTGCATGTCGAGCTTTGAAAGTCACGGTAAACTAGTCGATTTGCAGGACTGTTCAAATTGGGTTGACAGGAGGACAGAAGCAGTGGAGAGCAGGTTTCAGGGCTGCCCTGGAGAAGGATATTCCAATGGCAAAGAAGAGAAAGACCAATTGCTGCTGAAAGACCATTTTATCAGAAGACTGAAGCGAACGAAAAGTACATCGAGATATAAAAAGGTCATTTGAGGGAGAGTTAGCGAGGTTTTAGGCTCATGGTTATATCCGTGGTTGGTGCTGTGAGTGAGGCTACCTTGCTCTGCCAAGAAATTTATCAAATCGATTGTATGTATCTTTTAACCAAGGGTTCATAAGTTATTCTTGTTTAAGAGCTTAACAGCTCAATATTGGACAAAATCACTATATAAAAAAGCTTGTTTGGTTTCAGGCATGAATCTGACAGACGTAGAATGGCAGGAAGACCTCACTCTGTTCCAGGAGGGATCCAGACTTCCGTGGTACATGAGCCAGATGGGCTTCTGGATTGCCACCTGTTGCCTCCTCTCTTGGCCCTACATACTCATTTTAACCCTCAAAACCACCCACGTCAGCTGTACAGTGGAGAAAGTGTTTGGAACCCGATACGACAACAACCCCCCTCCCCCACCTTCAAATCATGTGACCTCCCAGCGTTATCTCCCCATGCGGTTACCGCCAATCCCCCCTCTTTTTTGTCTCCAACAAACCACCATATCCAACCAAGTCAATACGTAAATTGCAGAAGCAGAGAACTTTGTATTATTTTAGTTAAAAGATGACAAAGAACCACACAACTAACTTGTTTTTATCATGATATGCAAATTGCTTTTACTGTTTTTTTTTCATAATTACAGAGACTGCTAGACCAAGCTGCGTTTTTATCACAAACAGCTGCGTTTTATGATTTTACGTGGACATTTTGCTGCTTAATGTTCGTACAAGCGAGTAAAATATTGTTCGTTAGAAACTAACCACGGTAAAAACGGCTTATTTTGATTATTCTTAATTTTTTCTTTCTATTAAAACAACTTCTCTTGTTACGAACTGAGAAGATACAGCTCGCGTGAGTTTTATTCGATAACTTTGCGTTTGAAAATTCCAATGGCTGCATCGGCGTCTGATGAAGACTCCTCATTGAGCGTCGAAAACTTCATTTTTTTTCTTTATAAAACACAGATAAGTTCTCTTTATGCGTTTCATGTTATTATTTGAACTCATTTTTTTGAATATTTGTAAACACGACAAATGCATTCTTGGTTGTCAAACCAAAAGTTTTCAATATGCGTAATCTACTTCGTATTCTGCTTCTGAGGAATTTTTTTCTCGAATATCCGTTGACTCAAAAATATCAAGAAATAAATTGTCAAGTTCGAGAATCATTGCGATTCTTGTACCTGATTAAGCACGTTAATCGGAAAATTTAAAAAAGTTTTCAGCGTTCATTAAATTAATTTCGTTATACACGCACTCAGTAGAAAGAAAAAATAATCACTTATATTTTAATTATAATTTACTTCTAGCAAAGTTATAATTATTTATAAGCTCCAAATTTAGATGCTTAAACAATTTCTAATACATTATAATGAAAACATTTTGGTGATATTTTAATGAAAACTATAAAGCTTTTTAATTGATTGTAACTTTTCTGAAAATCTCTTTTAATCTCTTAAAACTTCTTTTAATTTACTATAAAGATTATAATCCTTTTTTTATCGAACATTATTTGACAAGATTATAATTTAGCAATTCTACATGAAAACACAGTAAAACGTAGTGAGAAGTAAGAAATCAGTAAACAGTAAACAGTAACAAAATAAGCAGTAAACAGTAAGCAGTAAGAAAGTAAACAGTAAACAGTAAACAGTAAACAGTAAGAAAAGATATCAACTGAAGAACACACGAAACAAAACAAAAAAAAACAAGATGAAAAATGACGTTTGTTGAATAATATGGAGTATAATTCAATAATTTTTCAGATTTTTTTAAAAAATATATTCGATTATAATTGATAATAATAGATTTTTTATCTTTTTTTTTGTTTCGAAAAACCTTAATAATACCTTATAATTGATTATTATCAATTATTTTTTAAGTTTATGGAGACTGAAAAAAAACCATTATAAACTAATTTTTTTTCTCTTTTTACTGAGTGAGGGTATCTTTTTGGCAAAACTTTTGTTTTGCATACGGCAAAAATGTGTTCCTCAATTACTTTTTGATTTCCTTGCATTTAACACTCGTCGAAAATTTATCAAAAGACAAATTTTTGTTGTGAACAAAAAGTTCTCCAGAGCCAAAATTTTGTGAATTAAAAGTCCTAGAGCTCTCCATTCAAGTTTTTCTGTGAAAAATTTGATGAAACTTCAACTAGTTTTTGTTCTCTTTTGGCCAGGTCCCAGAGGCGAGTTTGTGGACCTAACATTCTGATGATATGACTTTTGCTATGTGCATCTCTCTTTAGTTGGGGAGGAGGTGAAAAAACTTGAGAGGGTTACGTTGAGACATGAAATTTAGTAAAAGACGGGGCGTACATTTTGCAAATTTATTTTGCAAAATACATTTTGCAAAATTAATCGAATTTAATTCTACAAATAAAATGGATTTTAATTGATTATTATGGATTATAAAGATTTTTTGAAAAATAATCGATTGTAATGGCTATATTGTTGATTTCGCTTTCTGAAATTTACATCTTTAATTTATTATAATGAATTTTTTTTTGTCTCAGGAATCCCTTATAATCGATTAGAATCCATGGGCGCTCGGTGCGGGTTTAAAAACTAATCCAGCTTTTAGTGATATTAACTGCGTTATATATAAATAATCTCTTTTGCGCTTACCAAATGTGCCTCTAGTTTACTTTCGTTGTAATTTGTTTACATTTTTAAACCAGAGGATTATGAATTCATCAACTCTTGAAGGCATTGGGCGTGATAAAGACATATTTTTGACCGGTTTAACCAAAAGTGTCGCGGATGATATTTCACAGCTCTTGATGGACGGCATTCTAAAATTGCGCGGAGAAACTTGGGAAGAATTCGTATGCGTTGATGAAACAAAAGTGTTTATTGATAATTGTCCTCAAGCAAAAAAATTCAAACAATTACAAAGTCACATTAACAGAACACCACGCCTTGAAGAATTAGACACGACTTTTCTCGCTTGTCTGATAGAAAAGTTTGACACTAACCCGCGTAAAAACGAGAGTGTTAAAAGACTGAGAAACCTCAGAAACCTAGTGGCACACGATGTGGCGGTCTCTATTTCAGCCGAAGAACATTCTAAAAAAATTTCCATGCTCTTATGTGAAATTGAATTTTTCCAAAAGAATTACCCCAATCTAAACTTTGAGAAGATAAAGAAGGACGTTGAAGAGAAAAAATACTTCTCAGAAGACCTTCCTACCGGTAATATACGTCATGTTCCCAAAATAGCCGGAAGAGTTGAAGAACTGAGAGAACTCGAGGAGTGTTTGAATAAATCGCAAGTGGTTTTGGTAACAGGCCCAGCAGGAATAGGCAAGACCTCGTTAGCTGAGAAATTTGCAGAAGCCCAAACCGCGGATCCATCGATCATTGGTCTGTTTGTGTCTATGAAAGAATTCAAAAACATCAAAACTGAACAAAGTGTTTTGGAACTGGAAAATGAAATAAGCAGTGTTATCGGAAAGCACTTCGACAAGATCCGCGAAGCTGTTAGCCAATCGCCTAATGACGCATTTGTAATTCTTGAAGGCTATGTCAACAGCTTTCCAAAGTACGCAAAGCTTTTCATCATTTTGGATAATATCGATGGTTTTAACCAGCTGAAGTCTAAAAAAATTCTGGAGAACTTAATTACCCGTCTGTGTCCAACCAAGCGAAACATCAAGTTTATTTGTACTTCCAGGAATTGGATGACAGGCGTGGATACTTTTTCGAGTACAATTATTGCTCTAGACCGGATCAAGTCCAGAGATGATGTTTCGGCATGGTTCAGCGAGAATACTAAAAATATTGATGCTAATATTTTAGAAGAGGCAGTTCTTGCATCTGATCAAATTCCACTCTTAATGAACTTGCTCGGGTCGCGACTCAATGCCAAGAACCGACCGCCTATCAGAATGGGCGAGATAGCGGACATAAAACTCAGCACAACCTATGAGGAAAGAATCGACGATGTTCTCAGCTGGTCTTTTAAATCGCTGTCACAAGACTTGCAGCTTTTCATGCAAAGCGCCAGTGTTTTCCCTAAAACCATCAACAAGTCTGCCTTGAAGTGGATATTTCAACAATTAGCCAATACTAAAGATGCCTCTGCAGTGACAGATATTCAGCAATTGGCTGATTTGAGTTTGATTCACTACAACTCTAACAACCAGAAATACTACATGCACCCGTACATTCAAGAATACACTCAAAAGAAGTGTTCAGAAAGATTCAAGGAAGCGAAATATTTATATTTCGTTGTATATTATTCGAAACTAATGGAAATTACTCAAGATCAGTTAACTAAAAAGGGTGGGTTTAACGGAGCGATCGAAACAATTCTCGGCGACATAGATAACTACCATGAGCTCTTGAAGGTCGAGAGAAAACAATTCGTCGGAAGCCGCAATTTATCAAAAACATGAGCGTCAATTTAACAAAGCTCAGAATTTAATCAAAACAAAATTTTGTTTTTACGTTACTTCAAGCTAAATTTATCCTTTTTTACCTTAAAATGAGAAATTTTAGGAAATCATTTCTTAAAATCTTTTAATTTTTCTACCTTTCATCAATTTTTAAAGCGAACTAATCAATAAAACTTGAAATGCAGTCGATCGGATCATTCAGGGCGCCGCCTTGATAAATTTATGTTGATTTTCCGTTTTTTCGACGAAAATGAGGACTAGATATGATAGGGGTGCTTTTTGTTTAGAACAGTTTTAAAAAGAACGTGGGATAGATCTGTGGAACTTTGTGTTTGCTATAGGAACGCGCTCACCACTATTTTAACTTGGCCCTACAGTCGATCCGAAACAATTCTATCTAAACTATTGCAAGCTGGTTGGTCGTAATAACACGATTAAATACTTATTTTTGATACTGTCAGCTCAAAATTCAAACTTTTCGATATCACTAAAAAGACAGTCGGATCATTCATGACCTCGCCTCGGAAAATGAGCAGTCTTATTGCTTCAACTTTCGAAAAAAAAGAAATATTTATTCTTGGGGTTAACTAAAGGATTTTTCCACAGCGGATGATAATCCAGTTTAATATTGCCGAGAGCTCAAGTTTCTTTGTGAGCAAAAACTATGGAGGTTTGAAATGTGCTATTTGGGCCAATTTAAGATAGTCAATGAGCAATGTACTACGTTCTGATAACACGCATAAGCAGCGAATGAAACTGCTCCAAAATAAATTGAGGCAACTCATTTCCTACTTGAGGCAAGTCAGGTCCTACTATTAGGATATGAGGAACAAAATACATACAGATTTACAGAAAAAATCGTGCCGTGAGATGAAAAAAATAGGTTTTTTTTTGCTTTGTTTCTCTATTAATTTATCAAAGTTAAAGCAAAAACGTTTTATGTTGCCTCCAGCGGCAGTAGGAGATCCAACACCTTGCCTTGACTTTCGAGTCTTTTTGTTTACGTTTAAGTTGTTTGTGTTCGATGCGAGTAATTGGTTTAATATCAAAGTTCAACTAAATACTTTTTCCTCATCACGAGATGTATCAGCATGTAATATCAATAGATATAAAGCTATTTTCGATCCTCGCGACGAGTTGTTCCTCTGCCTCTGAAGTTTGAACCGAAAACTTTAATCTATTACACACAAAAACACTCAGTAAGGCTCGACAACTCGAACCTCCTTGGGGTATACTGGCTGCTCGCTTCTCTCTGGTTCTTAGGCGCAATAGCTGAAAATAGAAAATTCCAACGCGACTTTGCAAAAAGCTTGCAGGAGTATTTCATCAGAATTGAATACTTTTCACATGCTATGATGTGTATGTGTTTTATATCACATCAAGTCCGTTTTATCAAAGATTTGAACAGCCGAGCATCCGAAATACATGAAGAAGCGTCTGAGTTACTACAACGGCACAAACTTTCGCGATTTTGTCGAGCTTATTTGAGCTTCTCAAAGGGTCGCTTTGTTCAGCAGATGGTACAAAAACCTTTACGCGGTATAAAATGGGAGAAAAAGTTCGAGTGGGAGGAAAAACCGAGTATAGAATTCTGGAATGAGTCGCTTCGGGAGCTTTCTGAATGGCAATCAGAAATATGCGGGCTGGATGAAAAACAAAAAGAAACAATAGAAAAAATCGTTAAAGTTGAGAAACAACGAGTTCTAAGATCCAAGTTTCAAGACGAAATACTTGAGGACAAAAAGAATGAGGACAAATTAAAAAAAATTGTCGAACGAGCGGAAGAAGGTGTCAATGAGCTAAACTGTTTATTAGGCAGTCATGGCGAAACAGCGATCGCATTCAAAGATTTCGCAGATTTGGTTATCAAGTTAGAAAATGGAAAACAAAAGGCTGCCAACTTCTACGAAAAAGCGTACAACATGAACAAAGCAAACACAATTTCTCCTGCTGGCAATGCTCTAGTCCTGATGAACTGGTCGAACTGCTTTTCTGACAAAGAAAAGGCACTGGAGAAGCTGGCAGAGGCAAAAAAATTGTTGACTGATTATCATATGGACAGCCACTCATGGTATGAAAGAGTTGATATGTCAGAGAAGGACTTACTTGATTCCTAGCATGATTGAATCATATAATTCAGGGACCTGATTTCAATAAAAACTCCTATTGCAAATTTATTGTTAATACATACCGGAAAACTTCAGTGCAGACCAAAAAATTAAAATTTCATTCAATAAATATTTGAAGTACTTTAATCGGGCTATAGTTAGGTTTAGATATCCTTCGCAAGTTTTGTCTGTCAAAAGTACAACTTACAAAGGCTCTTGCGGTCTCAACAGGTTAAACTAGAAAAAAAATCTGCCTTCGAATACTGGATTTAATTTTTGTAGGTACTTTTCAATGGGTGAATCCTTTTGTTTTTTTTTAAACTTTTTAAAATCAGAAAAAGAAACAATCAAAGAAGCTGAGACTTGAGGTTCCATTGATTTTCGTTTGCAGCAGATGCACTAACTGTTTTTTTTCGAAAAATGAAATGGATTGGTACATATTTCGATAATTTTTCCATTGAAACCTTAACCTTGCGTTAGTCTATCCACTATATCATGATTTCCTTGCCAACGCATCGCAAAAAAATTTGCTGTGAGAAGTTTTCTAAACTAGCGCTAGTGGAGTGAGCGGGAAGCAGGGTAGGAGGATAAAATTTGGTAATTAACACATTAAATTGTGTTTTTGCGAAGAACTCCAGTGTGAACATTCTAAGTTGTAAGTTGTAAATAGTCTGCTTTTTTTCCAAACTGATTCTCTATTTAACAAAAAAGAGGAAGTTAAACACGCCGAGTAGCCAAAATATACTTTCTCCAACATGTTCATACAAAAAACAAGCGATTGAACGCAATCAATTGATATGCTCAAATTGAAAAGAGCAAACTCTGTAAAATTTATCAACGGATACGATCCAAAATTAAAACAAAACTGCTCAAAATTGTACTCGCCACAATTATTTTGACTTATTCGCTTTGAGAGACACAGCATTAAATTTTACAAAAATCATCGATTTCCAAATTTTTAGTTATCTGATAGTCCATTGAAAGTACAAATGCCGTTTTCAAAGTGAGTTTCAATTGAAACTACTTTTTTTACCTGACAAGTTGTTTGATTTTGATTACTGAAAAAAACTGTTTGGTAAAAAACAAGGTATTTTCATCAAGTAAAATTATTAAGATTCGATGGTTTGAAACATATAAGAAGCGGGCTGTAAAAACACAAAGTTGATTGAAAGAAAAGAATTAAAACACATGGAGATTAAGAAAAAAAAGAGATGTAAGATGCAATAGACAACGAAACTCTTGCAATAAAAAGAATTACTGCGTCCTACATTAATGTTCTGATGATATTGATGATTCTTTTTTTTCAGGGAAGGAAAAAACAGTGGCCAACCTCATTATAAATGTGTCCAGAACTTTCTTGAAACTGTAACAAAAATTGTACGAAAATGTTTGAAAAACATTCTGTTTTGATGTGAATCCTTCTCCACTCGCCGTCAAAAATTTCACCGCAATTTTAACGAGGTTACAGGAAAAACCGATTTAAAAGTACAGAAAAATAAACAAATATTTGGTTGTTTAAATAGTATTTCTAACAAAATTCTTCGATTTGTGATAACCATTATGTGTAGAAATTGAGCTGTGTTATTTATGTTGGAAAAGTTTTAACCTTTTCATTTTTTGAATGTAGTTTTGTTTCAAGCAGTTCTTGTATATTCAAACATTGAATATAATTTGTTTAGTGGTTTTTAATCGAAGTTGACCTACTAATATGCGCTTTTGTAACGTTTACTATTTTAAAGGTTTGAAAAGTCCCAGACAAGCTTACGACAAAAAAACAATTTCTTTCAAAAGATTAAATTTGATTCTTTTTGTTTTAAAAATTTTTCTCTTACTAATTTTGTAAATAAAAAAAGGTTTTTCTGAATAAACTTCCATGCAAAAGAAAACTTAAAAACCGCACAAGGAGTGATTTTTTGTCATAAAGAAAGTTTATTGTATTATTGAAAACTTAATGGTCATAAATGAGAACACAGAATCATTATCTTAACTGTTTTTACCGAATCGCGGTGAAATGCTAGCTCAAGCTTTGGAAAAGTACTAACAACTTCAGAGTTTTTTCTTGAAAACACTGCTAATTTGATTCGAGATCAATTAACTAAACGGTGTATTGCTTTATTTGGAAAAAAAAATTTCAAAACTTTAATTGTGTTTGAAGTAATTTTAACTTCACAAAATACACTTCTTGCAGTCGTTTTTGAGTTTTTCTAAAGTCAACTATTTTAAACTGTGTCTCTATGCGTCTTGAAACTTCTCTCGTTCTTTAAAAATTTTAATTGGAAATTTAATCGAACGTACGAACGTAGTGTTATACGACTACCACTCTTCGTTTTTTCCAATCTAGCGCAATTTCTGCATATTTAGAGCATGCAGGTTGTTCAGGTGGTTTAGTTCTTTCCCTGGTAGCAAACTCAACAAAAATTCAGTAAAGGTAACAAGCTTTTTATTAAACCATCCATTTTTCCAAAAATTAGTAGTTTCTATAATTTGAGAGCTTCCAGCATAGGTTTCACACCCTGTGATTTGGAAAAAATTACAATAATTAGTCGAAACAAACTGTAGTGACAAAAAATGTTCATTTTTGAGAATCAAAGTAACGTAACCAAAACATAGTTAAAACGTAATTATAAGAAAACGTAACTAACGAACTGCAGTTGTGACGAACTGCTCGAGATTGAAATTTGTAAGTTGAAAAAAAGAAAATTTACTGTTTGCTTCTGATTTGATTTTCTAATTCATTAAAAATGTGCAAGAAACACCAAATTTTTAAACAGTCTGAATATTGAAAAAAATTAATTCTCCAACATGGTCAGACAAAAAGAAAACAACAAAAGTTTTCAATTGATGCTGATAAGATCAAATTAGAATTATTATACAAATTTAAGCCTAAAAAATTTTTTCCGTCAAATTAAATCTCAAAAACCAGACGTAAACTAGGCTTTTGTTTTATGACAATAAGTTTTAAGCATCTTTTTTGAGCCTCAGTAAAACACATTTGCTGAAAAATGACCGATATATCATCACAACACTGTCTGGCGGGAACACGCAAGCTCAAGCGTCAGAGGCACACCAACAAGTGCAGGGAGTTTTGTTTTGATAACACTGTTGAATTGACTAGAGGTCAAATATGAAAATCATTTATTGGCTGAACTTACTAGCTTTGTGAGAGGATAGGCTTGTTTGAAATAGTGACTCATCGATTTATTTGAGAAAAAATTTCAAGTCATTGGTTGAGTTTGAAAAAGTTTTAAGCTGATTATATCTACTATTTGCTGACAGATCTAAATCTGCTGACAAAATCTGCTATTTGCAATTTTTATTGAAATAATCTAAGCAAGCGCAAGTGCAGTTGATCCAAAAAATCATCAAAACAAGTAAAAAATAAAGTCATCATGATCCAAATAAGTGTCTTGACTTCATTCCTAATAATTAAGTGGTACAAAGAACGACGTCTAGTTAGAATAAGAGTTTTTAATTTTTCAATATCCCAGCGGAAAAAACTGAATAAGAGATAATTTTCAAAGAGCGTTAACGACATATATTTTCCTATAAAATTAAAACAATACGTTTTTTTTCAACCAAATAATATAAGACCAAGTATTTTTCCTGTTTCCTTGCGTACATTGGCTCTTTTTCACCGTCTGTTGGCTATATATCGAAATGTTAGTTTCAAAAACAAAGTTTTCATAAAGAAGCTGCATTCAGTTCCCTTTCGTACAGTCAGATCTTTCGACTTGGTAGCCAACAACTAAAACCATTTTGCGCACTCCTTCTGCTTTTCTGTCATGTAGTTTGACGTTCCTGGCTGTTGTTGGAGGGTATCGTGCATTTCGCATAGCTCCGTTTTGCTGCTAAGCTCAGATATTTTTCTATTTTTCCTAGATGTGTGTCAAAATGCACAGAATAAAATAATCAACGATTGCTTAGAAGAGAGAAGAGGCCTTGCTTATGAAATAGAAAAAGACATTTTTTCTTAAACCCTAAGGAGTGGTCGTTTTTGCTTTTGCAAGTACACTGTCTGTCATTTTGACCTCTTTATAGAAAACAATCAATTAAAAAGGGAATTGCGATAGCGCTGGTGATGTAAATATTTACCTGTTTTCCTTTGTTCTTAACACTGACTTCTGTTAGATTGCAGTCAGAAACTTTTTCAGCTTTTCTTGACCACCAC